TCTTCCTCAGTAACTTTATGGTCAGTTATTGATTATATTGTAACTTACGTCTGTGTCTACAGTACTGTGGTTGTCTTGGAAACTTCCTTTTCAAGACTAGAACATGTAGGTCCTGCAGTCTCAAATATCCCTCTAAAAAAAAGCTATTTGAGTATATAAATTGTTGGTTGTACTACTATTTAAAAAGTCATAGATTTTTAGGGTCAGAAGGGACCTCAGGAGACCATCTAGTCTGACCTCCTGCCCCTGGCAGGCAAGAAAAGGGTCACCAAACCTGGGATCATGTGATCCCAGCCAGGTGCTTGTCCAATCTCCAAAATTAGGGGGGGGGGTTGGGTTTTTCTTAGGATAATAAAAGGGGAAGATTTTTGATGAGCTGGCCTTTACCTGGGATTCCCCATGCCTGCAGGCAAGAAAGAGCCTGTAATGGTCACTGTAATTACAGCTGTAATTACAACTGTAATGGTTTTAGCTACTGCAATAGCCATTGTTCAGTCATGCTGTGTCAAACTCAAATACTTGGAGTAGTTTGGCTGACCTGCCATAAAGCTTTTTGATTCCTCTTATTGTAGCAAGTCATACTTGGCAAGTAGAGATGGACAGTTCAACAATTCCATTTGGAGGTTCGCAGGAGTGGGAAGAGCATTTTCTTCCAGATGAGGCACAACCTTTTGGGGGCTTCTCAGTGGGTGGACCTTGGTTTGCTTTGTTGTTTGGCTCTCTCATGAATAAGATGAGAAGTCCTAGCTAGCAAGGAGAAGGTTACCAAGTAAAAAACATTCAGACTTTTAACAGGGATCTAGTATTTCTTCTCAGGCCTTTTACTCACCAATGCAATTAAATGCTGGTGTGTGCCAGCTTTTTGCCAGTTTGAGATGTTCCTCGTGAATTGTCATGGCCAAATTTTATAAACAGGAAGATGCACAGAACTGTAGAGAGGTAGCATTAGAAGGGAACTTAGGAGGCCATTTTATCCAACTTCTTGGTCAAGGCAAAATCTTCCACATCTAAACCATCCAAGCCAAGTGTCTGTCTAACCTGCTCTTAAACTTCCCAGGATGAAGATTCTATAACCTCTTTGGGTAGCCTGCTCCAATGTTAAACCACCCTCATGAAATTCTTCCCAGATTTCCACTGCTGCAACTCAAGACCAAGACTCAAGACTATTTGTCCTGTGCTTTGCAGCCACATTGAAAGTGGTGACACCCCACGGGTATTTGAAAACTGTAATAAAATACCCAACTTGCTTTTTCTTCTCCAAACTAAAAAAAAAATCCAGTTTTTAGCCTTTCCTTGTAACTCATGTTTCCCAAACCTCTCAACACCTTTGTTGCTCTCTGCTGGGCTGTAATTTATACAAGACTTTCCCAAAATGCAGTGCCTCAAAATGTGACAGCGCCTCTGCTAGTGCCAAAACACAGTGGAAGGATCATTTCTCCTGGCTTTAAACTGATGGTCTGATTAATGCAAGAGAGACCTTGATCTGCAGAATACAGATAGAGCCAGCTAACCCACTGTTGGTAATGGTACTAGAAGGGGCATATAAAGTATTTTCAAATAACCCCAATGACCTTTCCATTTCCCTCACAGGTTCCTGTTGATGTTCTGTCCAATGTTCACAATGCTACCCATTGACAGGAAGGAGGGGTGTATAGAAGAGGTTCCAATTCTAGTTGTGAACAGAAAACAGCCCTCTTCAAATGAAGAAGCTGATCTAGTTAGGATGCTGGTCTCAGCATCTGTAGAGAGGAGTTTGTAATGGTTTCTCAAAGAGAATCAGCATGGAAAAAGTTGTCTTGGGTACTGCAAAGGTCCTAGCAAAGGGAGTTCATGCATCTTCCTGGTTTAAGTTAAACTAGAGCCCCCCAGTATCTTAGCATATTTTACAGCCCTGGGCTCTGCTGTGCTCTCTAGTGGAGCAAGGGTGGGGGTGTAGCCAAATGCCAGCCTGGAACAGCCCCCTATGGAAAAGGGGGCAGGGAGGGGGCTTGCCTGGCCAAGGCATAGCAGCCTGTCAGGGTCCGCCCACCATCCCTTCACCACTCTAGCAACATGGGCAGGGGCATGGCCAGACACTGGCCAGCATGGCCCTTAAGGAGAAGGGGGCAGAGAGGGGATTTATTCCCCCCTTCCTCCCCTCTCCCACTGGGGGACCACAGCCAGGGTCTGCCAGCCTCGGCCACCACCTTTGCTGCTCACCTCTGCACAGGTCTCAGCACCCCCTCACAGGGGCTGCTGCACCACAGCCTAGCAGACCCTGGCTACGGTTCCCCAGAGGGAGAGGGGAATAAACCCCCTCCCTGCCCCCTTCGCCTCAGGGGGCCATGCTGGCCAGCATCTGGCCATACCTCTGCCCTGGAGAAGCAAAGGGGCAGGGGGGTGGGGAGAGACCCTGACAGGGACAGCAGCCCCTGTTATGGTGCCCCAGGGAGTACAAGCCTCTTCCCAGTGGGGAGGCTGCACTGCAGGTGGAAGCGAGGCAGGCAGAGCTGCCACAGCCTGTTCAGCGTGGCAGCAGCAGTGAGGCTGGGAGGAGGACCATGGGGAGGCTAAGCAGCAGCAGCACTAGGAGTGTTTTGGGGGGCTATGGCTACCCCAAAACGTGCCTTAGGCCCTGTAGCCATTCCTCCCAGTGCAGCCGCTACTCACCCTGTGCAGGCTGCAGCAGGTATGCCCACCCCACTCTTGCAAAGGAGGGCTCACTCTAGCACCCCTTGGCTTCTGGCCTGAGCCACTGCAGGCTGGTGGCTGCATTTCTAGAAAAAAACTGAATGTCTATTCAGTCTATGCAGGTAATTAGCCACTGACTGATCAGTCTAAGTACCTACATGCAAAGCAAATGTGTTCATAAAAAGGTATATCAAGACCTAACAGCTGAAAACTAAAGTTCTGATGCTGTCAAATTTTAAGTAACATGCTAAATTAAGGGGGAAAAGTAACAACTTCAATGATTCTAGTGAATTCTCCATCACTGAATATTTTTAAAATCAAAATCAGATGTTAAGCTAAAAGTTAAGTGCAAGTTCAAGACTGCATTAATTCAGGGAATTTTTGGTCTTGTTTTATTCACAAGGTCATAACAGATAAAAAAAATCATAATGGTCCCTCCTACCCTTGGTATGAACCATCTTACTCAAACCCAGCTCACAGCTCTAGAATCCACATGGAGTTAACTCCCATAAATCCTAAAGGGGGAAGAGGCTGTGGGGAAGAGACAGGGCAAGTTTCCCCTCTAATCTCTGGGACCTCCTGTACAGTACTTATAAATCCACTCTGAAATAACAGCTGTCTGTCAAATAATGTAGCAAGTCCTACAAACTCAGTTGCTCCAAGTTGTGCTGGAATTCTAATATTATAAAAGCCTACGTCTGTCCGTAATGCTTTATTTGCACTCTGATTGGCTGACGGAAATAGCCAAATCAGAATGCTCCAAGCATGGGGGAGCACCACCACAATTTTGAAGCCGCACCGAGGACTGGACAGAGGGTGGGAGAGCCAAGGCCAGCATCCTTGCACTGGCAGCACAGGGCATTAGGTGGCAGAACTCTATCCCATCCCTCTTGTCCCTCCATCCCCATCATTCTTGATGGGCAGTTGGCTGGTACTTTAATATCAGGTTTCAAAACCTACTGATACACAGTGTAGGAAGTTGTTACAGATATAAACAAATACAATTCAATTTACTTTTCTTGAAAAAAACAAAAAACAGAAAACTGCATCCAAAACCCACATTATTTGGGGTGCAAAGTGAAGCCTTAAAAGGTTAGGAAAGCGCCAGATTTATGGCGTCCCATGCAATTCTAGTTTGGCCTAAATGCACATTATTAATCTTTAATCAAATGATCATTCTCTGTCCTTCTCACTTTCTTGTGCATTCTTTTTAGTAGAGATAGTAGAGGCAAGGTGTATCCCATGAATTTGCCTTATGATTTTTTTTAAAACATAACTCTACACAGCCTTTGGATCAAAGTGCTGGAAGATATGCTATTAAAAAGATAACCATCTAATGGGAGGGAGACACCATTAATCTGAGAATTTTTTTGTTTCAACCTAACAAACAAATTATTTCTAGGAAGTAGTACAGAATACTTGGGTAAACAGACTGCCTTCACTCGTTAGAAGTGCCACAGTTCTTATTAAGTCTAAACAAGGTCTATTTTCAAATGTTATTTGACACAAATACTTGTGAAGACCAAGACCTGTGGACTCCTCTTATGTAAGCAAGTCTTGCTCAACCACCTCTTTAAAATCAACTAATTTCTAGGGTTTTGTTTGTTTTTTTTATGCTGGTGAACTGCCACACTCCTTCTGAAACCTCTCCGCCTCCGCAGGTGGTATTCAGTTGTTTTGGAAGGTTTAGATTACAGATACATATTAAATATGTTGCATTAAATCCTCTGAACACAAACACAGCAATTACAAAAATAACCTGGGCGAAGAATGGGTACTTCAGCTAGTAATATATATTAAAACATACATAAATACAACCCACAAGCACTAACAAAGCACAGTTCGCCAACTCAGTAGGTGTGCTGCTTAAATATTGAGAAGTCAGTTATATAGATTTAGAATAGGAAGTCAATCCTGGAAGCATGGCAACAGACGTACGAGACACTTCCACATAAATGGCGTTGCAAGAAAAGAAAAATCAAGACACAGAAGAGGTAGAGGAAGGACCAAGCTCTTTCAATGTAATGTCTGGAAATACCATTATGCGTCTGTGGCCCACTAAATCAAGTATTTTTCAGTGCCCTAGAGAAAAACAAAAACTTCTCCCCCATACCACAGACCAATGAACACTGTGCTAAAATTCATCCTTGCCAGTTTAAGTGTTCATGACCATTTGGAAAAACATCTTTTGCCTGTATGAAATAATTTCAGTACACACGTTAAAGATGCGCATAATACTTCAAAATACTTTTGTGAAAAGAGACAGCTACAAAAAAAACTGGATAAATTGCATGATCAGACTCGATAACTGTGTCCCCAATAAGACATACCTGCACGGTGGCTGCTACAACTGGAGACCCTGAGGCAGAAGATGGTCTGTGTGGAGTTGACAACTGTTTAGTAGCACCCTGTGTTCCACTTCCTGCTCCCCCAGACAGACTAGTCCTACTAGCTCCACTTGAGTTAAGATTACTGCCTCTGCTGGCAGGTACATTCATTCCGACGCCACTCAAGTTATTTTTGCCAACAGTTCCAGAGGGAGAAGAGTTGGGCAATTTTGAAGAGGCCTGAGGGTTTTTTGTAGGTTGGAGGCCTGAGGTGCGACTAGAGGGCAACAAGTTCATTGTGGGAGACTGCCTGCTGATATTTACTCCGCTGGTCTGTTTATGAAGGGGACTGTTGCTGGAGTGACTACTCTGGGATACTAGTGCACTTGAACTGGAAGAACTGGGTGTTGTTGTGGGCCTGGGGGATGAGGTGGATTTAGATGAGAATTTAGGTGATGCAGTGGGCTTGGGCGTCACAGAGGGTTTGGACGAAGTGGGTTTGGGAGAGGCCGCAGGTTTAGGAGAAGCAGCCATGGTGAATGGAGGCTTGAAACCCTGGGAAGAAACCTGCGATACCATAGCCTTGGCTAAATAGTTAGTAGAGGTAGAGGTGCTGGATGTTGTCCGAGAAACCAGTGGGTGGGATACTTGAGAGCCGCTTCCAGATGAGGGGTTAGACAAAGGAAGCCGATATACTACTGGCTTATCTGGAGTCTTCATGACTGGGGATGAACAGGAGAGTTTGGGATTGTTACTCAATTTCACCACTGGGTTGGTCTGCGATTTACTAATAGTTGCTTGTAGAGGAGACACATATTTCTGTTGGACAGCTGAATGCTGGTGCACCTTTGTCACCTGTAACGTTGAGGAAGAACCACCTTGGGCCTCTGAAGAAGATACTAGGACAGCAGCATCCTTGGGCCTCTGAGGGGGGGTGGAAGTAGCTGCTTGAGCCTTGGAGGAGGAAGAAGAAATATGGGTCTGTGAAGAAGAGGAAGCAGCTTGGATCTGGCTTGACCTCTGTAGTCCTTGCTGAAGTAGTTTGGCTGGCAAAGGCTCTAAGGAAACCTTAGGGTTTTGAATTGAAGATCCAGCAATAAGGCCTGAAGAGATGCCAGTGTGAACCAAATCTTGGGGTTTCTTTGGTACTGGCCCCGTGTGACCAGCAATAAGACTTGATGAATGTGGAGTCTGAGCTGACTCTACTTTCTTTGAGGTTGCTAGAGGCAACTTACTCATTATGCTTGCTAGCTTTTCTTCCCTTAGCCCAGGGCGAGGTCTTGAGGTTGGTGTGTCGATAGCGGACCCAAGAGGAGAGCCCTTTGCTCCATTGTTGATAACTGCCAAAGCATCAGAAATAGAATCCAGTGAGGGTGGGTGGAAAGAGAGGTCTTCATCCAGTGAGTCATCCAGGCAAATGGTTTCTGGAGCTGGTGTACAGATAGAGCTGTTTGGAGTACTGACAGACGTGCTGGAATTCAATGTTGTAGCACAAGTTGAAGTCACTGAAGATGCACAGGTTTTCTGCTCTTTCTTTGGACTTGAGTCCTGGGAGGAAGTAATTAGAAAAGGAAAAACAATTAAGTCACACCACCTCTGCCAAAGCAGATCACCAAGACTCAAGTGCGATGCCATGACTCTGCAAATGAAGTGCAAATCTAGTGTTAGGCTTCCTTTAAAGATCATTTTAGCGCTAACAAAATCTACCATAGGAAGTACATAAAATCCACAAGTGAATATAAGCATGAAATAAATAGAAATTGGAGTTGGCTTCCATGCCACCTTGATTCAGTATCAAGATGGCTATGCAAAGAACAGTTTATAAAAAATGTAGAGAGAAACTAATATATAGCATGCCCTTCTAACACACTAACTCCACAGTCTCTTGGCCTTGGTAGGGCTAGAGTGTGACCTTTCCACCTTTCTTTGCCTGTGTGTCTAAATGCATTAAGAGACTGGACAGCAAGGCAATGCTTTTAATGATGCACTATCTTAAAATGGGTAGCTTCAAAATCAGCCTCTGTCCTGTAGATATAGCTTTTTTTTTTTTTTTTTTAAAGCTATCACATGGCACACTGTTATACAGAACATACTCCAGAAATAAGCTGATTAGTACATCTAATGTTGCAAGATCTTGTACTATAGTTCCACTTGGAACACTAAAGGAGAGTATATTGTACTCTAAACTGTTGTATTAGTCGGTTTTCAATATCCAGAAAGTTAAAGGAAAATCTGATTTGCAGATAGCTATATTGAACAATACATTTCAGAAATTATTTTGCTTTGCCGATTTAAATTTTCATATCATCCAAGTTTCAATTTAAAGCTAACATGTATATCTTGTGCAAGGACAACATATGCAATTAAATGCTGTTTGAACCAGACGATACATTTTTTTCCAAATTGATATTTAACAGGCTCTTTTATGAGATGCTAACACTAAATTATTTGGTATGAAAAAAGATTATTATGCAAGCTGACATCAAGTTAATTAAATTCTGTTTTCTTCCTGATATTAAATGCAACAACAAATCCATGAAGCAAAGCACTTCATAGATCAGGGGCAGGCAATTATTTTGGGTGGAGGGCCACTTAGTGAGTTTTGGCAAGCCATTGAGGGTTGCATGACAGGCAACCAGAGGCAGATAAATATTAATTTTTTAAGTTTCTTTAGGGGCTCTGCAGGTTGGATAGAACGGCCTAGCAGCCACATTCTGCCCACCCCTGTCATAGATCCAAAATAAGCTCCATTTCCAGAAGATTAATCTATTATAAATAACTATTATAAAAACAATAAATATACACATTATGAATAATACACAAAATTAGAGAACACTTATATAAATATTTTTGTGCATTAACCATTTCGTACTACTACTAATTTACACTTTTCTGGTGAGGCTACCAAACAGCTCCAAAAGTTCTAGATCAATGGTGAGATTTATAGAGCTGACCAAAAGCAGAATTTCTGTCCAACAGGAAACATTTTAAATTGGTTTTGTCCTGAATTGGAATGAGAAGTCAAAACCTTGAGTTTTTTGCAACCAAAATATATTACAGAACATTTTCTATTGAGCATATTGAAATGGCACGATTTAAAATTGTTTAGACTTACTTAATACATAAGTGTTTTGATAATCTAGAATACAACAAGAGTTGGAAACAGTAATATTTACAGTACTTTGTTTTCCTTTTACAGTATTTAAAAGAGTCCATAAACTCCCTAGTTTAGTTTCCTCAAATTAGAGTTTTCAGATGGAACTGTTGTCTGAAAAAAATGTTATAGCTACATCACCAGGGTTGGTTCAAAAGAAGGACGTTTTTAGTATGTTCTATATTCAACATTTCCTGTATATTGGTATAGACTGTTCCAGCATTTACCTTCACTTTGGGTTTAGGTGCCAGAATCACCTTCTTCTTTGCCCTAGGGAAGTGCATAACAAAAATTAGAAGAAACAGGGTGAGTCAGTTTCATGCAACTACAAAATACTATATTCTAAGTTTCTGCTGAAGGTTAAAAATGGAGAAGGGGAAAAAGGAAGAAAAAAGGAGATAACATGATGTAATATCATACTTGTCCAACTTCGCTGTGTTAACCTGAATAGTGTCAATGTAAACTTTAAATGCTTTAAAAAGTTATATTAAAAAAGGAAAGAGATAGCTATAAATCTGAATTTTGCTTGCCCACCAAACAACAAAACAGAAGTGTCCATAATTAACTTTTGGAACTCTGCTGTAGGATATTGAGGCCAGCATTTATTAATTTACAGAAAAGTTCAGGCATCTAAGTAGACAGGAACAGAATCTATAGATACACCAGCTAGGATAACAATAAGGACGAATAATACTCAGCTTCAGAAGTATGACTACCACCCAGATCAATCCCCATCATTTTCCCTCAGCAATACTGAACAAAAGACATTCATAAGATTGGGAATTATAGTGTCAGTATACTGTTTTAGGAACAAATGCAGTAAAAAAGGGACAATATGGTAGACAGCCCATTTCTCAGTTTTGCACTATTGTATGATTAATGTAGGATTGTTTTCTGCCATTACAGAAGTTACAATTTGGCTGGTGTTCAGAACTGTAAATGACTATTCCAACCCTGACTTAACCAGGACAGCTCCTCACACAGGAAAATTGTAGTGTCTAGGGTTGGAGGTGGTAAGAATTCCACTCAAAGTAGTAAATAGATTGGCAGATGTATTTGTAGAAAGGAGGACTGACTTGCATGCTGCAATACATATTTGGTAGATTTCATGAGATTTTGGATTTGTAAAGCATTTTGAAATCTTTGGGTGAAATGCATTAAGTGTTTTAGACACTTAACCATTTAACCCTTGAATACAACACACCCTAGCACCTCAAGACCACTGAAATGTCACATCAGGGTTAAAGAATTGAAAGAAACTTCTGGAGCACTTCAAACAAATAAGGAAACGAAAGGACAAAGAATAAGCTTTTGAGAGAGAGCAATATACAGAGCCACTTAGAGCTGAAGCACAAAGAAGTACCAGAAAGTGTCTGTATTGTACTCACGGAGCAGAAGTGAGATGATTGTGAACGCTTCGGCTTTCTTTAAAGAGCATCCTGAAAGAGAAAGAGACAGAGGGGAAACACGGACACACTGAGATTATACATGGGCAAAGATGACATGGACACTAACACTTTGTTCACTGCTGGATTTTTGGATTATCTGTCCCCTTAGAAAAAACTGCTTGCCTGATTCTTAACTGCTAGGTTGGTATAGCTATAAATAGTCAACCACAAACAAAAAAGGTTGAAAAACTTACTACAATTAAGTCAGTATAGATAACTACTGTGCTAGCAGAAAACGCAAGCCAATTATTCTTCAGTGGAATGTAAGTAACAGAATTTTACATGTCCCCTCCCCTTGCCAAATCTTTTAGAACAACATGTAAAAATTGTCTTAATATTTCAAAACAGCTTAGCATACTGGTCCTTGAACAAAACTGCTTACACAACAAGGGCGCATTCCCACATGCAGGGGCATGCACTTGCGGGGGGGGGGGAAATGTAGTGGCACAAATTTGTGCTGCTATGCATGCCACTGCAGATGTGCTGTAGTATGGAATAAAATGCCCTGCTTTGGGGAAACTGCCATTTCCCTGCTCTTCCCAGCTCCTGGCATGCTGGAGGAGCTGGGATGGAACTGGAGGGGAGGAGACACACTGGCTAACATCCAGAGCATCTCTTGGCAGAACCGAGTCTTCATGCTGCCAGTGCACACTTGTGTGATGTGCACCCTGCCACTTATGACTTTTTTTGCATCCAGAATTTCCTGGTAGCAAATTTTGCTCCCATACTACAAATCTGCAGCACAAGGTACATTTTAACATGCTAGGTGTGCGGTTTGCAGTGCCACAAGCTACACATGCTTGCATGTCTGGATCCAGGCCAAGAGTCCACATATGAAGGAAGAATCAGAAAACAAAAAGACAAGCTTGTTCCCAAACATCTCAAAAGCACACAGAGAATGCTATAATATTACTTTAGGCTGCATCTAGACCTGCAAAAATTCCTCAGTGAGGGAACAACATTGTGGTAAAAATTCCTGAGCCCTGGCTATACTAAAACTTTCACTGTTATAGAGGGAACTGCATCAGTAATTAATTACAGCCTTATTTTATTACCACAGACAAGGCAAAATTTAAGGGGCATTTACACTACAAAAATGCACCTTACTTTTACACTACTGCCACCAAGAGACAAAATTTGTCTGCAGCATCACATAGCCCTGAACAGCTGCTTAACAGCTTTTTGGCAGCATACTACAGAGTTGCTTCAATGAAGAACATAAGATTTTTAGTCTCTCAAGACTTTAAGAAGGCATTCCCCCACAGATGAAAGATCAGAAAATCACTTGATTGTACAAGACAACCCCAGCATTTCTCTGACTATGGTTCCAGCCCCTTTTTCTTCAATTCTACTGTTATATTTTTCATTCAATTATTACATTGGCTCTCTACTTAATTCCCTCTCACTTCTTTCCATCCTACCAATCCTCAGTTCTATTGCAACGCATTGTTTCTGATCCTCAATGATTAAAAACTGCAGGAAATCCAGAGACATAGACCTCCCCCACTACAAGTCTGTTTTGTCTTGCTTCATATTGTTATCTTCTCCAAACAGTTTACTACTTCTCCGACTACCTTATTCTCACCTTAGATTCCCTCATTCATTAAGATATACCAGTCACCATTAACTTGGAATGCAAGATAGGAAGTGATAAGGCTCCCAAGACAGAGTAATGATGCTAAAAAACTACAACTTCAAAAGATAATATTCAAAAGGAAAGAGTAACAACGTTTACAAATAATTCAGGACATTTCTATGGTTTTCCATACATAAATAACATACATTAAGCATTTGTGTGTTGAGTAACAGGAACATTGTTTGCTATAGTCAGAATAACTCTATAAGCTTCAAATCAAATTGTGTTTGCCTAAATTGCATCAGAGTTACCACATCAGCTGTGCCAGAACACAACACAAACCTAAAAATCACGACTAAAAGATGAAAACATAATTCCTACCCATCTATATACACAAGGAAAAAGATTATATCCAAGATGAAAAAATAAAAACAAGTATTACATGTTTACAAAGAGTATCTTATATTTTTCTAATGCTTTTTATCCCAAGTATCCCAGAGCACTTTAACTGCATACACACCAGTGAAACAATCCCCTGGTAGTGTGAAATACAGCACTGATAGTTGGGTGAGGGACTGGGGACAAGTATTAGTCAATGCAACTGGGTGACCTGCTAGTTAAGTACCAGGAGATTTTTTTTTGTTTTTGTTTTTTTTTGTTTTAAACACCTCGGCAGGGCAGGTAAGATACTGATTTTGTGTTTTATGGACATGAAACACATTTGCACATTAAAATACAGGGAACTTTCTCTCTCTCATAACAAAGACACTGAACTGGACCTGTCATTCCAGAGCCCAGGTGTTACAGATCTCAGGTTAAGATTACTAGCCCATTCCATCTAGAATGCTGCATGCTTAGCCATTCATAAACCATTAGACACAAAATTACTTTTTCCCCACCCTGTTTACATAGTTGCTTTCTGTTAAATCACCACACCAATCCAAAGCTAGGGACCTGTATAACTAATTGTTCTTGCTGTTCTATCACACTCACTACCCCCCCCCCCATAAAGAAGCTGGGTAATAAGAAGCATCCAGAAATATGCAATGCTAATTGTTTGTTTATACGAGTACATGGTTTATTGCATTTTACATCACCAGTCAGACCCTAGAAAATCTTTCCTTTCCTTAAATTTTTCCTTCCCATGTATACTTATTTAGGCTACAAGGTACACCAGACAACTTTCTAACAAACAAAAACAGAAAACATTTCCTCCATAGTTTGGAGACAAGACATCTTTTATAAAAGATTTATTAAAAAGATTAGATTGTAAACATATTTATTCAAAATGTTAAATTCCTTCTTGTTACTGCATACAGCCTCCCAAACTGTATATGTGCTACTACCCTGCAAAGAAACAAGTAGCAAAATTTCATCTCCTCTAGGCAAGAATTTGTTTACTACACACCTATGAGAAAATGCTATAGCCAAATTGCTAGCTAGGCCACCAGAGGTATTAATTCCCCCTCTCCCTCACAAACCACTCTTCTCAGTCCAATACTCCTTTTGCATAGACCAAAACAGCAACCAAAGTGGCCCCATGGGCTAGACAAGCGATGCGCAAACAGTCCATAGTCCTGATGAACGGTGCAGGGCCACCTCACTAAAGCCCCAGAATGCTGAGCGGGGAACAAGTTCCCCCGCCTGTTCTCCCTCCAAACAGCTCTGCCCTCGTGGAGCTGGGCAAGGAACAGGCTACCACTGGGCTGGCTCTAGGAAATCCTTATCCCAGCCTGAATCCCATGGTTGTGGGGCTCTGGCTGGAAGACCCTCATCTCCCAGCCCAGGCTCTGTGGTCAGAGCCAACACTGGGAGATGAGTCTCCCAGCCTGATCCTTGTGATTGCAGAGCTCAGGCTGGGAGATAAGAGTCTCCCAGCCCCCCACTTGTGATGGCGGAGCAGGGGCTGGGAGATGAAGATCTCCCAGCCCCTGCTGATGATCAGAGAGCAGGAGGCTTGGAGCTCCCTGCTGCCAGGGTTGGGGGACACGGTCCCAGCCCAGGCTCCTGTGGTGGAGCTCGCCTTGGCAGCAGGCTGACTGGGAGCAGACAGATGGCTGCTCCTGGTCAGCTGTTTACACAAGCACTACTGCGCTGTTACTAATTGTCGAGTAAAATTTTCTGCTTGCACTTGCGGGTAGCAAATTTACTTGGGATTAGGGAAGTTTACTTTGTAGTAAGCATATGCACATGTAAATGCGCATGCTTACTTAATAGTAAACTATGCTAATGCGAAGTTAAGTGTCTTGTGGAGATGCACTTCTTGAATCTCAACTCCCATTTCTCCCTGTGGTTTGCTATGCAACCTCTGGCAAGTCACTTAATCTTTGTGTGTCCCAGCAGTAAATTATGGGTACTGCCTACTTCACAGGGAATCTTAGTATCTGGAAAATAAACATTTGGACAGTAAGTGCAAATAGATTCTGGATTTTACTGAGACTATCAAAGATCACTCCCATAATAGACAGCCATATATTTAACTTAATCTCTGGGGTTTGGGGTTTTTTTTTTGTTTTTTTGTTTTTTTGCTTTGGATACAGGTTTCCCCTCGCTTTATGTGGGTTCTGCATACACAAATTTGTTCTTATGTGATGACCGTTTTATGCCAAACATTCATTACATGAGGTAGGATTTACTCTTTTATGCGATTGGTGTGGTGAAAGCCTGCAGTCAGCTGCTTTGTTCAGTGTGTTGTGGGAGCGATGCATGCCAAAACAGTGTTGTGTTGATCTGTGCTCCTCACTTGTCTGATTCTGTAGTTGCCATCCCCGCTATGATAGTGCCCTGTCTGCTGTTAGTGAGTACCAAAATCATCTTGTAAATCGTGGTAGAAACGAGCCTGGGGGTCAGTACAGTCAAGGTCTTGTAACAAATAGGGATACGTTCCATTGTAAAGTAGGTTCCCTTTATGTGAATTTGAGTTATGCGTCGTTTTCCAGGGACACATGTACTGCATAAAGTGGTAAGACCTGTACTTGGGACACACTGCTGAGTGGTTCAACATGGTTTCAGTGTAGGAACTATCCCTCATCTGAATCAGAACCACAATTCCATTCCATTATGCCTCAAATAAAATAATAATGGAGTTTTGTCCCTTGTTTATTGGTGCAAAAGAACATCCAATTTCTCCTGAGAACAGAGTATAAAATAATCACTTAACTGACCAATAGCTTTTGCCATCAGTAAATCAGTAGTGATGGATAAAGTGTCCGACTTGATAATATACCATTGATGAACCCTGCTGATATTACACAATATTCAGCATGTGGGATCTCCCGGCAAAGAAGTCTAACTGCAGAGTACGTAGCAGGGGTGGGCAAGATGTAGCCCATGGGGCCCCTAAAAAAAATTTAGAAAATTAATGTTTATCTGCCCCTGGCTGCCTGTCACGCGGTCCTCAATGGCTTGCTAAAACTCAGTAAGTGGCCCTCCACCCAAAATAATTGCCCGCCCCGGTATATAGTATCAATATGAAACTATCAGTATGCAGCCATTGCCCTAAAGACCTATCAAATTATTTCTGTAACAATTGCCAGCTAGATACCGTAAAACTATTTAAGCCTTAACACAAGATAAAACAATTTATGTTGATAGGCAGAAGTTATAGCTATGGAGACTACTGTTCTTGTTTGAAGTTACTCATTTAGAGTTAAAAAGAGATTAAAAACAAAAAGGGCACTTTTCATTGCACTCATCCCATGTAAAGACACATGCCAGGTATAGTATCAGCATTTTTAGTCACAAAGTATTCATAGATTTGGTTTTAGTTGGTCATGGAATTACCTTACCACAGCACTTAGCTACTACACTCTCTGCACCAATTCTTTCTCCACATCTTCTCTTACCTAAACTGCTGTCCTGTGTCTGGTCTATCTTAGACTGTAAGGGGGTTTCTTCAGAACAACGGAGTGTACCTCACTGTTTGCAAAGATTCAGGTTTATTTATCAGTATATTTACTGCATAAATACATACATTACTAACAAACATACCTTTGTGCCTAGGAAAGTCATTCAGTGGCACTTGTTCACTAGTTTGACCAAATCATTACTCTACTCTGTAGTTTCATAAGCACCCAATGTGCTTAAAAAAAAGAAATGGCATTTTACTTAGAAGCCAGTGATATGGTTATTTTTACAGCCTTTAAACTTCTGTTGTGTAGGCCTTGGTTATACTTCAGGGCTCCTCTGTGACCAAATTATTATTAGCTCATCGATTGCATCCACCTTTTAGAGTTCCCAGTAGCATGCCTTAAAATTGATGGGCATCTGTGCCTTGAGACAGGTTCCAGATTGTGGAATTCATTCCCTCTGTGATATGTCTCTTCCCCTCTCCCTACTTTCAGAGAATGTTTCAGAGGTTATTTCAAACGTGTCTTTCAACAGTATTACTGAAATCAGCCTAATAATTTATAACCTTTCCCCTCCTACTTTGTCTTTGGACTCCTTTTAATTAGTTTGCTTGAACAAAATTTAACAGATTATGTTTTAAATATATAATTGCATAGCATCCTAAGTACTTCATCAAGGGACGTATGAAATAAGAGAACAAAGTTCGTTTCATGAAATGTTTAGCAAATTCTTCTTCTGGTAAGCTAGCATATGTAAAATAAAAATAAAAGTCAGGTTGCATGTAAAACTGCTCAGACTAGTGTGACAGAGGAATGGAACCGTTGCAAGAGGAGTCTCCCAATGAATATCCCATCATTTCTCACAAGCTTTTTTCCAAAAAAGGGACTGTTTAGATCATGCTTAAAAGATTAGCAAATTAGGCTATGTATTGATGCTCAGCTTTCCCTGGGAGAAGCACTGTTCTCCTGCTACAAACAATCAGAAGTGAACAACCAATTCAGGCTCTCCCACAGCAATAAAGGCCACTCCAAGAGAAAAATAACCCTGGAACAAATCAGTTATGTCGATCCCAGGAGACTGAACATCTGCACACTTTCTCCTGGCTTCATTCCTCCTAGGAACTAGGAAGAGTTGAGTTGAGGGAAAGGCTCCCATGCCTTCCCAAGATGGGGTCATCCCAGCCTTGAGTAGGCATGTGGAGGAGCTGTTCCTGCCCCTCAAGGACTGGGAAGGGAGGGAAGGAACAGTCACCAATTACTCACTGTGGCTTCTCACACTGGGAACTCCCTTAACCTAACTCCCAGTTGTGCTGACTTAAAACAGCTGCTCCAGCTACTTATCTGAGTAGCAGGCAAGGCATGAGGAAGTCAGCTGGCAGAAAACCAGGCTCAAGGAGGCTCTCCCTGGGCCAGTGATGTAGAGCGCTTACCTGCTCCTCACACCAAAGTTTTAGGTGCGAGGAGCAGGTGGGGGTTTGCCTCACTGCTTTGTTCCTTGGCACTGAAAAAACACTGTGAACCCTCTTCCTGCTTACTACATCCAAGTCCCAGGAGTGAGAAGCAAGCAGGGGTTTCACCTGCTGCTCCCTGAGACCAGAAGCAGAATGAAGCAGCAGCTACTCTGCATGTTGCAGGGAAGGAGGGGGCAGGGAGGGAAGGGAACAGAGAGCACAGGGGCAAAGCCCCCACACCTCCTTCCTTAAGCCAAGCAATGTCTGGCTTGTGGAAGAGAGGCAGGGACTATCAGTTCAGGAGGGGAAAGGAAATACGCAGCCGCCAGTGCTTCATACCTCTTCCCCAGGATAAGACACTGTCTAGCTTAAGGAAGGGGCTGGGGACTTTCCCCCAGTGCTCCCTCCACTCTGATCCTAGTCTCCAGGAGTGGAGTTGAGCAGGCAAGGCTGCACCCCCACCCTGTTCCCCACAGCTGTTTGGGACAGGTTTGGAGAGTCTTTCCCTAATGTTCATACCCCCTGGGGACAGAGGAATAAAGCAGGCACAGCTCCCCTCACCTTTACCAGACTGAGGATCATCCACTGAAATGTCTATACTGCTCCTTCTTCTGGAAGGATTTCTACTGGATTAACTCTCATGAATTTTCCCCAGTAGAAATGAACATCTGTATGCAGTCTCAATCTTTGGCAGATCACCAAAAGGAGGGAACTTCTAACGAAAGCATTCTTCTTTTAGCACTCAAGATTCTGTGCAAATCCAATACATTTACCTTGTATAGAAAGAACAGTTCTCCTAAATGTTCCAGTCCACTGGCCACTATATTCAAGGTAAGTAGTTTACTTCTCTATTCTCTCAAGCACAGATTATATCATGCCAATGACCCTTAGTATTCCAAAAAGGGACCCAGAGAGTCACAGAAAATTAGGGTTGGTAGGGACCTCAGGAGGTCATCTAGTCCAACATCGTGGACCACGACCCACACTTCCTGGCAAGGGATTTCACCTCTCAGCAAAAGGTACAAGTCCTTTCTCCAACAGGTTGGCTGATTTCCTACATTGGGCTTTAAACTAGCTCAGACGGGAGACAGGGAGGCAGATGGAGAACATCAAGAACCTGCAATCCATGGGATGTCCAGCAGTACAGCACAGGTAAGCAACAAGGGGCCCATTGGGCATCAGAGCCAGGGGGCAACAAAGGCGCCAGTCACAGGGCGCAAGCGCCTATACACTATTACTAGGAGCATAGGGAACAAGCAGGATGAACTAGCACTCCTGCTTGCAGAAAACACTTACGACTTAATGGGGTTAACAGAAACCTGGTGGGACTCTAGCCACAACTGGGCAGTACACATTGAGGACTATAAGCTGTACAGAAAGGATTGGTATTGGCAATGGGGGATTGGCAAAGGATTGGTATTGACTGGACCTGGTATTGGCAACTGGGGATGACATGGTAGGGGACCTACAGATCAGTGGTCACTTGGGGGACAGTGACCACCAAATAATAGAATTCACCATAAGGAGCAGAGTGGGAAAGGTAACTAGTAGGGTAGAAGTGCTAAACTTTAGGAAGGCTGACTTCAGCGAGCTCAGGCGTTTAAGTCAATGATGCACTGCAGAGTAAGTAACTTGGTGAGATGGGAGCCCAGGAAGGGTGGCTGTGCCTCAAGGAAGCAATCCTTCGGGCACAGAGGGAAACAATCCCAATGCAGGGGGAAAGGGGCCAAGAGGCTTCCTTGGCTGACCAGATAAATCCAGAGCAGCCTAAGAGCAAAAAGTGGGGCATATACGCAGTGGAAACAGGGAGAGATTGCCAAAGAAGAGTATACCTCCTCAGCTCACAGTTGTAGGGAGGCAGTTAGAAAGGCCAAAGCTACTATGGAGCTGAGGATGGCATCCCAAGTTAAGGATAACAAAAAAATTGTTTTTCGGATATATAGGGAGTAAAAGCCAACCACCTTTTAAAGAGACACCGTTAAAAAGAAAGGCATAATATTTTAAAACAGGTAAAATGTTCCTGAAAGCATTTTATTTCTATTCAAAGGGGTATCTTGCTACTGAAACATTTTGCTGAAGTGCTGGCAACCTAAACAATGATAGCACTACGTTATTACAAAAGATTCAAGTAGTAAGCTACAGTGGCTCATGGTTCAATGCAAAAAGAAAAGCAGAAAAGGAAAAGCTATATATTTAAAAGTTACTTGGTTTTAATGACCCACGACACCTATTCCTAATTTGTTCTGGTAACCTTATTTCCAGGCCTGCAACTCCACTTGTGACAGTCCCTTTCTACAGTGCCAGCTTCATTCCCAGTTGTCAGTCCTATTTCCACAACTGAATTTCCATGTAGCTTACTACCCCATTCGTAAGTGCTGCACTGATCTAAGATATTAGTAATAGGTTAAAATACTGTTACTGATTTTTTTTTTTTTAAATTGTAAGTGGTCCTTTATACCAACAGTTTGTAGAAGTAAAGTCAAACGTCACCGTAAGCGATTCAAGAAGCTGATAGACAGCATTGAGGAAAGTATCTTACCTAGCCTGCATCCAGCCTTTAGGCCAGAGCGGTTTCACTTCTGTTTCCATAAAGGTCTTGAGGTAATCCTCCGGAGACTGACTTCTATTTGGCTCTAGTTCGTAACATCCCAGCTTGATCTTGACAAGGTTACACAACAAAGCTCTGTTGAAAAGCACGAAACAGGAATGAAGCATGCAAATGAACTACAAGCACCTAGTTTGAATTCTAAACAGAAGATAATGGAATGGAAAAAAACCCCCACTGTCATTACATGTTAGCAGTGCAGTAGCTTATGTGAAAAGAGTTCATGAGTTTCAATCTAGTTTTGTGGAAAACTTGTCAAATGAAAACATCCGTCTTAACTGCGATAAATAGTCTTTGTTCTCTCAATTTCTTCCAGGTCTTGTAGCCAACTGCTTCCACTGTTAAAGTGTCCTCCTACTGTCTTAGTGTCTTTTTACCATGGCCTTACCATATGTGGAACTAGTTCCTTAACCCAGTCTGCTATGGTCCTTCTTTTCTCCTTAAAGCAGATTTTATTTAAAATCCATTTTGTACCACAACATTCTATTTAGTTATACTGAAAGCTCTTCTCAACAGGTACTCTTTATGGACAGTAAAAACTCAGCTTCAAGTTTTGTTCAATCTAACAAAAAAACCAACCCTATTACATCAAGCCTTAGTGGAAAGCTATATGAAAACTAAAGTTACCCTTTTGCCCTTAACAGGTAGTCCCTTTAATTTAATCTCAGATATACTGCTAACATGTGTTACATGTATGTACAAAGAGAGCTTGGTTTGCTGTCGTTTATGGTGTACCTGTGAATATGTAAAGACTTCAGTGTCCGGAAACTGAATCCAGAGCATCTCACTAACAATTATCAGTTTCTTCTCTTTAAAATATCAGTATGGGTAAGACTAAAGCTGATTTAGCAAGATTCTTTTGCTAAAAATATTCTCAGTAATCATCTGATTTCCTAGAGCAGATAAGATTTTAGTATCTCAGGAGAGATTCTGTGCTATATCTACAAGGTAAAAAGGAACAGAATCACAGCTCAAAAGGAAGGGAGGACTGAAGTGGCTTTAGTCACCCTTGCTTCTTTCTGATGTTGGATTGCTCAGGGAGTGGAAAGGCCACTGGACCTGGAAAGCCTCTTTCATTAGAATAGCCACCTTGAACTGCTATAACGACAAGCAGGCTAAGCAGAAACACTACAAAGCGGTGCAATACAGCCCTACTTCAGCACACACTCCTATAATACATTTCAAAGACTGTTTGCAAGGATACGTTATTTGATCTTTCATCTTTCTACCTCTTGAATAATCCTCTTGTGACTAGATGTGGGTTTTTACTACAGAGCTCTTATGCGATGCAAAAGTACTGAAATGGGAGCAAGACATTCACCCCTTAGATGCTATGAATTCGTAGCATCTGATGAAGTTGGATGTTGCCTACAAAAGCTTGAGTATCTGAACTCGTTTCTAAATGAGTTAGTCTTTAAGGTGCCATCCTGCCTTGTCTTTTGCTCGATTTCAGACTAAGTAAAATTTATCTGGTTTATTAGTCATTCTGCCCCTTCCCATGCCTCTATAAATAATTCCACGCTGAAGCACACATTATTAGATAGCAAGGGTATCAAAGCTAATACAAGGTAAAGAATGGTAGAGTTATGTCGCACCTCACGGTATCATCCCAGTGGAATTTCTTTCTTGGCCCCACAATCCTCTTTCCTGGCTTCTCATCATCATCTTCCTCTGACCCATTCTTCTCTCGTTCATCTTCTGCTAGCAATCTAAGGGCAGAACAATTGTTTATGGAAGAAAGACAGAATATTTTTCCCAGATCATAAACACTTTTAAGTAGGTTCCAGAAAGAGAGGAGAGCTGCCTTCAGTTGTTCATATGCCTATCTAAAGAGGCAAACATTTGACCTTCCCCGGTCTTATTTTTCTCCATCTCTCATCACATCTAGCAAGGTACATCAAATAATTTCTCTCATTTGTCTGCAGGGTTTGTTTTTTTGAGGGGGCGAGGGAGGAGGAGAGTGGGGAAGGACAGGCTTTGCATTTTGTTTTGGCAAGATGTTGTTTCATTTGTTATTTGTTGATCAACAAAGAGTGTGCTTCTGGTGAGGCCTTGTTTGTACAACAGGAGAACAGTTTGGGGAATCTTTCTTTTAAGAGGTCCTCTTATAGTACAGGTCAATGATCTTGTAGCAGGTTCCACTGTTGGACAGTATGCAGTAACCAGGTGAGTGGTTGATGGGGGTTTTCTTTCTGTACTGCAGTAGGTTTGTGTGGTGCGTTAGGGTGACTCAAAGATGCAATCTTGGACAGTAATAGCTTCTTTCCCAGACCTGAGGAAAGATGCTTGCAACTCCAAAAGCCTGTCCCCTTCTCTTCTAACTATACAAAGTGGTCCAAGAAAACATATTGCCTCACCTTACAAATCTTCCTTTCCTCATGTTATGGTAATCAAAACTGCAACCCCCCCCTTTGCTACAGAAGTGCTGCTATTCATCCCATGAATCTGCTGACAAAATGCAACAATGACCAATCAATTCTCATCCCTCCCATCCAATCCCAAATCTAAATCAGCTGTCTGTTAGCTGCCTAAAGGAAACAGGCATAACGTGGAGAAGAACATTAATACATTTCAATTCCATTTCCTCTGTCAGCCAACTACTTAAGGGCCTACAATAGTTTGTAACCTCTGATCTCACCCATCCTTAAATCCACCTCAAATCCACCTACTCAGACTTCTTTTCAGAGTTATTTGACAGCTTTACTTACAATAAGGCACACAAATTGATGTAAATTGGGATGCGAATTTACAGCATATTAAATGATTCTTTAGTAACTGCTTGGGAACTTGGTCTTATCCTGTGGTAAATGCAAGGCAGTTCATGCCTCAATGAATAATACATGGTAATTTGTTTGCGTGCCCATAATCTTAACCTGAAGAAAGTTAGGAACACCTTTTCATGATTTCCTTCTACAGTTTTGCCAGCTCTGAGCGTGTTGCCTTGGCAGCATTCATAAAGACAAAAACTGAGATAAAATAGAACTACGTTTCTTGCTCATGGCTCCCTAGGGTAGCCAAAACAGCCTTATCCTGACTTCAGAAGTACGTACTTCGCATTTTTGGCTTGACTGCGGGCCTGGCAGTCTTCCTGGTATTTGCATAACTGTTCAGGCATGACATTGCTGACAGCCAGTTTCAGCTTTTGCAGTGGTTCCCTCAAACGGTCGTCCTAGGAAAAGGCAAACAAAGTAAGTTCGGTATATAACTAGTGTAAAGCATATACCTAAGATTAGTTATTGCTCCAAAAATACACTAATTTTGAAGACTCATTTTAGTCAGTCCTGTGAAACATCCTGAAAGACAGTCCAAGAAACAACTATGCGTTGACGGCAAAGAAAAAAGCATTCAAAGTCCCCTCTATGGTTCTCTAAAAAGACCTCCCCCTGCACTTCATTTAGGCCCATACCAATGCAAAGTGACATGCATAGTTTTACAACTCTAATATATACGACAACTCCTCCAAACCAAGAGATTAAAAAAGAAGAGAGAAAAAAAGGAGAGGCCAGTAGGAAGGAAACATTTCTACCTCCAAAACATTAGTGCTTAGTTTTTCTAGATTACCTTTTTTTTTTTTTTTTTTTTACTGAAAAAAGATGAAAAATATCTGAAAGAACAGTAAGGTTGACAAGCACGTGTCCCTCAGATTAGTTTTTATACATCTGGATACTGAGCATGACCAAGTCCTGCAAGTCAGGACTCCAAATGAAAAAAAAAAA